GGAGGCAGTCAATCAATGATTCTTTCTCATCATTGATGTTTCTCTCTCTCTCTTCCTCTCCCTTCCTCTCTGAAATCAATAAAAATGTTTTAAAAAAACAAAAAACTCCTCAAATAATTCTGACTTAACTGAATAGAGTAGAAGGTGAGCTGGATAGGAACATTCCCACCAAAACAGAATCAATACCTTTCTCCTGGTTAAAGAAAAAAAAAGAAAGAAAGAAAAAAAGGTTAATAGGTAGAGCATTCAAATTTTAAGATCTCCTCCATAAATTTTTTTCTTTATAGGAAAAATTAGAGCATGCTACCACTTACCTTCTGATGAACTTCAGTGGAACACAAAGTGAATATGTACTGAAAAACGCAGAAACAGGTAACCACACTTAGAACCCTGCTCTTTTTAAAGGGGATGTGTGCTCGTGGCTGAGTTATGATACTGGAAACACAGAATTAAAGGGGTTGTTTTTGCCACTAATTTCTTTTTTTAGTTATTTCGACTGTGTTACGACAAATTACATGTAATTTTTAGGTATTCTGCCTTCAGAACAGGTTTGAGAATGCTTGAAATGAGCTCTGAAACCTTCACACTCTCCCTCTCCTTGCTCTCTCTCCCATCTCTTCCTCCCTCTCTCCTCCTGTTAATCTCTCTCTCCAACTCCCTCCTTCCTTTTCCCTCTCCACCCCCACCAACTCTCTCTATCCCTGCTCAGATAAGTAACATCCTCGAGGTAGACCTAAAAGCTAAATCTCTGTACCCCTTGAGTTCAACTAGATAGGAGAAAATCCCCCAAATAGGAGTAATTTGATCTGTCTCAAAAAAGTAGGAAAAATAATATTTAAAATGGGATCTTCCCTCCAAGAGGCCTTATAATACTTTACAGTTCACAGTGCATCATTACTTTATTTGATCTTTATATCAATTCTGGGAGAAACTATGCTCTTATCAATTTCCAACCATTAAACAAACAAATAATAATAATAATTAAAAAACACACACCCACCCTGACCAGTTTGGCTCAGTAGATAGAGCGTCGGCCTGCAGACTGAAGGGTCCCAGGTTCGATTCCGGTCAAGGGCATGTATCTTGGTTGCAGGCACAACCCCAGTGGAGAGTGTGCAGGAGGCAGCCGATCAATGATTCTCTCTCATCATCGATGTTTCTATCTCTCCCTCTCCCTTCCTCTCTGTGAAAAATCAATAAAATATTAAAAAAAACAAAACCCTAGGAGATGAACTTTCTAAAAACAAAACAAAACAAAACAAAAACACCCAGATGAATAAATGAAGTCTTGGGAGGGTTAAGATAATTCCCAGGATCCTTCAAGTAGAAAAATAAAAACTAAGAGACTTGTTCACAGTAACAGAGTAAAAAAAGAATAAACTCAGCAATATAAAGGAACAAACTATATGCAACAATTTGGATGACCCTCTGGGGAATTATGCTGAGTGGGGGGGAAAAAGAGCCAACCCCAAGAGGTTAAATACTCTGTGATTTCCATTTATATAAAATTTTTGAAATGATGAAATTTTAGAAACACAATAGTGATTGTTACAGGTTAAGTATGGTGGAAGGAGGGGGACAGGAGGAAAGTGGGTGTGGTTATAATAAAGCAACACAGAGGATGTTTATGGTAATGGAACTATTCAATATCTACACTTTGATGGTGGATACATGCTTAAGGAGCAACAGAAGTGTAAATACACACACACACAAATGAGTACAAGCAGAACTGAAGAAATCTGAATAATGGACTACATCACTGTCAACATCCTGGTTGTGTTATTGTACTATAGTTTTGCACAATAATACCATAGGAAGAAACTGGGTAAAGGGTAGCTTTTCTCTGTTTAATTTCTTACAACTGCACATGAACCTGTAATTATCTCAATAAAATTTTCAATTTGAAAAACAATGAATGAGTCAGGGTGTGTCTCTGGCTCCTGGTTCTTGCCTGTGATTATTTTTTTTTAAATCTTTAAATTCTTTATTAGTTAAGGAATTACAAATGTGTCCTCATTTCCCCCCCATTAACCCCCATCTCTCCCCCCCCCCCCCTTCCCTGTGATTATTTACCTCCCCAACGTGTACTGGAAAGAGATGTGGCCTTGTTCTTGGAATTGCCAGTTTGGCTCAATGCCCTTTGAGTAAGTTAGAGATGGGGGTGTATCCAAATTTGACTCTGGAAGGTATTATTACATCAAGCTAAAAAAATAGGTTCTCCAGAATAATTAAACTCCCAGTGTTTCATACATGGAGAGCCAGGACACCCTACGTTTTATATGGAGCATTCCAACATTTTTATTTTTCTGAGCCAGCAATTCCAACACATCCCCTGAGTTTTCCCTGACTTTCTGGGCTCAGCTTTTGATGGGGACAGTGTTTAAGGTTGGGAGAGAAGGGAACAGTAACAGAGCCTTAGATCTGGGGGCAGGGCAATTAGAATTGCTTGTGGGAATGGCAGAGTTCTCTAAGTAATTATTTGTGTGACAGAACCAGAAACTGAGGGTCGGCTTCTGACCAACAAAGCTGGGGCAGAATGCTCACCCATTCAGTACCTCAGTCTCCACTCGCCCTTTTCCTTCTTCTGTCCTCCTCCTGCCACTTAGCTTTACCTACCTCTCTCTCCACTCTCCCTACCCCACCTTCTTTTCAGTCTCTTCTTCTTGATTTTTATTTTTCTTCTTTTTGCTACATTGTTCTACTATGGCCACATTATAATTAATACACAATTTTAAAGTATTAACCAAAAAAATAGCCCAGCTGGCGTGGCTCAGCGGTTGAGCATTGACCTATGAACTGGAAGGTCACCGTTCGATTCCCAGTCAGGGCACATACCTGGATTGCAGGTTTGATCCCCAGTGTGGAGCGTGCAGGAGGCAGCTGATCAATGATTCTCTCTCATCATTGATGCTTCTAGCTCTCCCCCTATGAAATCAATAAAAATTTTGAAAATTAAAAAACAACAAGACAGTCACTAAAGCCTAGTGTGGTTGTTGCTGTAAGGTCACAGAACTGCAACTCGAGTCCAGAGCAGTCTCCACCATGAAACCGCTTCCTGCTGCAGGAGTGCGTTGCTGAGGGTAAGAAAACCTGAGTTACAGTCTGGGCTCCACCACTAACTTGCCACTTGACCTGAAGCAGTTTGTTCCCTCACCTAGGAAAGAAAAGGAAAGGACTCAGATTTCCCTGTCGAAAGTCACTTTCAGTTTTGTCTGAGTCTAGAGAAACAAGTCTTTCAGGCCAGGGGTGGTGGAATGCTGGAAAAAGACGGGCCAATCTTGATGGAGAATGAGAAGTTAGGTCACTTCATTTGGCATCTTTCCTGGAGGATCGGTATCCTTATGGGCCAGGAAGTTATCATCAAACCATGTGTCATCAACCCAAGGCTGCTCTGCAGGCCGACACTGTAATTATCCTTCCCCCTTAATAGCAAGCAAGAACTGTAGGTGCTGGACCACAGAGGAGGGGCAGTTCATCAGGAGAGGAGGAGGGATCTGACCAGTGCAGAATGACTGTCAAACTAGGAAGGGAGATGATTCCTTTCATGCATCCAGGCAAAGGTTTGCATGGGGGACTTGATGGCAGGGAGAAGGCTCTCTTTAGGGACTACATGAAGAGCAGGAAATGTAAATAGAGTGGAAAACAATGAAGCAAGAGAAATTGCTCTTCCCAAGACTGATTGCCATGGCAATAATAATACCCTAATTCTAGGTCCTAACAGGTTAGGTTCAAAGTAGAGGAGGCGTTTACCTTTGGGGAGGAATATACACACGTTTATGGTGCTTAGTACTTGGGCCAGCACGTTCAAGGGTATTCTCTCATGTAATCTTCACAGCAGATGAAATAATCTACAAAATATTAATACCCCCATTTTATACCTGAGGAAACTGAGGCTCAGGGAGGTTAAATCACATGTTGGGCGGAACCAGCATTAAAGCTGGGCTCATCTGAGTTCTTTTTAGCAGCTTCTGCGCCACCACTTATTCTGAAATCTCTCACCTCGCCTTGCCACTGACCATACACTAATGACGGCTCTAAGAATGCTCTAGTATCTGGCAGTGGGCAGGAGGCTTGGTCTTGATTTTGAGTCAGAAAATCCTGAATTTGAATCTGCCTCTGCTAAGTCTGTGCCTGTGGGCAAGATACAAAACCTTAAACCTCAATATTAACGTCTTTAAAGTGCCTCCCCCACAGATCTAAGGCTCTATTACTGTTCCATTCTTTCCCAACCTTAATTTCCTCTAACTGTTGACTTAATAGCATCGGAAATGTCTTATATTTTTGTTGTTTAGAAAACTGATGATACTGTGATCTGGATTTGCTTCTTGATGGCAGCCAGTTAGTAAAATTGATAATAAGCACAGTGATGGTTTATTAAAATTTTAAAAAGAGAAAACCTAACAGATCTTTGCTGCCTTATTGTTTATACACAGAGGCAGCTGCCCCTACGAAGTCAGACCTTCCTGTTTCAGTAGGGCCATTAGGAAAAAACATCCAATTAGAAGTAACAGCTAGGCTCCCAAGCTGACTTTTCAGCTTACTAGCAATGTGAACTTGAAGGAAGCATTTAACCTACCCAAATCTCATTAGTCTCATCTGCAAAATGAAGATAATACTTGCCCTACCCTTCTTCTTTATAATAGATTTGAGTATCAAGTGGAATAGTGCACATGAAATCCTTGAATACTGCATAGTTCTATTATATTCCAATGCAAGACAGTATTCTCACACATTTACTAGGGCCTGGTTTTTAAGCTCTTTCTAAAAATAGTCAACCGATGGGTCTTTGGTGCCAATTCAAGGCCAACAGGAATCCCCACATTGTGACATGGTGAAGACGGAAATTCTATTCAGTGCAAAACAGCTCAGTTGTAATACAGCTCCAGCAGGACTGTGAGACAGCTCTGTGGCCAAGCAGCCCTGAAGCCAGGCTCCTCTCCAGCCAGACAGCTCTGTTCCCTGCTGGTCTGCTCCAGAAAACAAAACAAAAACAACACAACAGCAGGGAAACACTCTTTAGTGAAAAGGGAAAGTGCACCCTCAGAGAGGAGAGCTGACTTATATAGACAGAGGTCCCCGCCCTGCTCCCTGATTGGTCTGTCCTCATGCAAATGAAGAATCCAAATCCACACAGTTTGATTGGTCAGAAAGGCACTGTCCAGATAGCTCAGAGCGGAGTCACTTTGGTCAGTGAAGAAGCTGATTGGGATATAGGTATGAAGCTCTGATTAAACGGGGAAAGCCTCAGTCCTACTGGTTGAAATAGGATTCCAGGACTCCTTTATGAGGATTGGCTCAGCTGGCAGAAATACAGCGCAGGCAGGCAGTTCAGTGCAGACTTCTCCCTGAAGCGCAGTTTGTAAGGGAGGCCCCTGGGTAGGAATGGCTCCTAGGTTCTGGTGTTCTTCTGTTTGTTTTTACTTTGAGCCCAGGTAGCCACTGGGGGCCTTTTTTTTGTAGGTATCTTCTTTCTTAGGGTCCACGCGACAAACAGTCCAATAGAAATCCTTCAACTCAACATTGGATACTACGACATATATTGAGAAGCATAGTTTACTTACTCGCTGCCATATCCAGTGCTGGCGCTATACCTGGCAAAAAGTAAGTGCTTGGTAAATATTTGTTGAATGAAGGAGAGAAGAAATGAAGCTGGGCAGGTAGGTGTGAGCAGGTTTGTGGCGTTAGAACTGTGTGAACGTAGGGCAGAGTAATTGTGTGAATGAAGCATGAGGACCACCTTAGGCTTTCACAGTAGTCTTTCCAGAGTGGACAGAGCCTGGCTGTGGCAGCCAAAGATGGAACTGTTTTCTTCCTGTTTTGTTTCAAATGGAGCAACCTCCCTTGTAGTTTCTTAACTAAACTAAGGAGATAGGAAAAGGCATAGGGGAGAACGGCTGAATCAGCATTTTGTCTGAAAATATTTTTAGTTAGCAAAACACCATCAATTCACAACAATATTTAACAACAATAAAAAATGGAACAGCCCTGGCTAGGTAGTTCAGTTGGTTGGAGCATCGTACCAATAAGTCAAGGTTTGATCCCAGGTCAGGGCAGATAAAAGAAGCAAGCAATGAATGCATAAATAAGTGGAACAACAAATGGATCTCGATCTCTCTCTCTCTCTCTCTCTCTCTCTCTTTTCCTCTCTCTGTAAAATCAATTTAAAAATTTTTTTAATGGAACAAAGAATAGGTAGTACCGACTTTACTACTCACATTTGGACTGCTTCTTTTCTTGTGTCTCTAGCCAGACAGGAATTACTGGCTGCTCAAACCTGGTGCTTTTTCTTCTCCAGGCCTCTGGCTCGGCCACCAATAATCTTTCCTGCCAACTGCCAAAGTCAAAAATGTCAATGAATTAATCACTGGCTCAACAAGTATTTATTGTGCTCATTTAGTATCGACAATGTGTAAGGATGAAGGGAGCAAACAGGCTAATTTTGGTAGAAGGAGAAATATATATAAAGGCATAATTGTAATGCTGTGAGATAGGTTCTTTTGTTATATAAGTTTTATTGACATTTAATTCACATACCATGAAATTCATCTCTTTAGTGTCCAGTTCAGTGGTTTTTTGTATATCAGACTTGTAAAACCAACATCACTATCTAAATTTAGAACATTTCATTTACTCCTGAAAGAAACGTTTATGTTCATTAGCAGAAATTTCCTGTTCCCCACTCCCTCCCGGGTCCTAACAACCACGAATCCACTTTCTGTGGCTACGGATTTGCCTATTCTGGACATTTCATGTAAATAAAATCATACAATATGTGGCCTTTTGTGACGGGCTTCCTTCATTTCACATAATGTTTTCAAGTTTCATCCAGGTTGTAGTTTCTATCAGTACTTCATTCCTTTATATAGTATATAGCTGAATAATATTATGTTGTATGACTATAACACATTTCTGCAGTTAGATTCATGAGCCATTTTAAGTTATTTTCTGTACAATAAATGGAAGTGGTCCCACTTAATTATTTTCCACATAACTACCCATTGTCCCAGCACCACTTTTGAAAGGACTATTTTTTCCCTTTGACTGAGATATAGGGCCATCATAAAACTTATCTTCACTGACTCCAAATGGCTGTATCTGCCAAGTATATTATCTCAACTCAACAACACTTTAAATACTTCATACACAAAGCAGGGTGACAATGAGTTCCTGATCTTGGGGTTGCATTTTGCCAGAATAACAAAATTGTCCCTTTATTAGTCAAATGGATGGATGAGTAGGTATACGACAGGTAAACAGAGGGACATGAGAATAAAACAAAGCTTCTTAAACCTTTCTTTAAATACCCACTCCTGTCAATCCACCTTGACTTAAAAGAAAATGTTTGCACCCTGGCCAGTGTGGCTCAGTTGGTTAGAGCATCGGCCCACACACTGAGAGGTCTGGGGTTCGAGTCCTGGTCAGGGCACATACCCAGGTTGTGGGTTCAATCCCCAGTTGGGCACGTGCTGATCAGTGGTTCACTCTCACATAGATGTTCCTCTCTCACTCCCCCTCTCTTTTCCTCACTCTAAAAAAAAAAAAAAAAAAAAATCAGAGTGGATTAGAAAACGGTGGTACAACTACACAATGGAATACTACGCTGCTGTAAAAAAGAAGGAATCCTTACCATTTGCAACAGCATGGATGGAACTGGAGAGCATTATGCTAAGTGAAATAAGCCAGTCAGAGAAAGATATCACATAATCTCACTCATTCGTGGAGTACAATGAACATCAAACTGATGAACAAAAATAGATACAAAGAAGCATCAAACAAACTGTCAAACTTTAGCGGGAAGGTAGGGGAGGGTTGGGGGGTGGGGGTAAGTGATCAACCAAAGGACTGGTATGCATGCATATAAGCATAAGCAATGGACATAGACACTAGGGAGGTGAGGGCATGTGCCAAGGGTTGGGGGAGGCTGGCAGGAGGTCAGTGGGGGGGGGGGGGGGGGGAGGCGACATATGTACCACTATTCGTAATACTTTAAATAATAATAATAAAAGAATAAAGTTCCTCATGAGCTATTAACCTAAAAAAAAATCAATAAGAATAGATAAGGTTTGCTATTGTGCTTCCCTCTCTGACTGGATTTTGGGAGAGGCAGGTAACTATTCCTCAGCAAAAGGCATGGGGCCAGAAGGAAGGAGGGCCAGTCACCCTGGGTGGCCTCATTTCCCTGGATGCCCAGTTAAATAGATAGGTTCTGTGGACCGCAAGGAGAAGGCTTATCTTGTCCAGATTCATGGTGGCTTTCCCTGTGACACATGGTCAGGAAAGTCTTGTTTAAAGGTGTCCATCTGCCTTGACGGGTCTTTAGTCGAAGCTCAGGTCAGAGGGTGAATGGCTTTTGTGGTTGTTGTCTGGAGAGACCCCATCCCACATGGAGTTTCCCCTTGAGCCGCAATTTTAGACCTTTTTCATCTCCTGGCACATATCAACGAACTACTAAAATTCTGTAGCACGCCAAAACTTACATAAATTTTTTTCTAATCTGACCAAAAAATAGGTATAATTTTGATTCCTTCACACCTATGACTATCGTAGTGTTGGCTGGTGTCTTTTTATTTGACAGTCTATGGGAAAAGAGGCCAGGCTCCCAGACTAAATAGTCAGGTATTGCATGTTTTAAAAATTCTTGTGGCACACTGATTAAAATCGCTGCTCTTGAGTAGTAACTTTCCTGGTTTTCAGGTTTGTTTTCTCCAAGGAAAACGTTTCTTTATACATATCCTCTGCCCTTAAAGTGCAGATTATCATCATCCCCACTTTTACAGGTGAGAAACTGAGTCCTTGTGAGGCTAAAGCACATACCCAAGGCCGCGAGGTAGTAAATGGCAGGGCTGATTAATAAACCCATACTTTATCCACACAGACTGTCTATAATAATTGCTATAATAAAAGTTCAGACCAGTAATTTGTTTAAATATGTAATGCATAGAGTAATTAATAGAAAACTATAATGTATTTCGTTATCTTGACCACCACCTCTCCCTACCACCTCACTTCAAAGAAGATGGACTACCCTGGCTGGTTTGGCTCAGTGGATAGAGCGTTGGCCTGTGGACTGAGGGGTCCCAGGTTTGGTTCCGGCCAAGGGCGTATGCCTGGGTTGGGGGCTCGATCCTTAGATGGGACATGCAGCCGATCAATGATTCTCTCTCATCATTGATGTTTCGCTCGCTCTCTTCCTCTCCCTTCCTCTCTGAAATCAATAAAGAAATATTAAAAAAAAAAAAAAAGAAGATGGACTTGTCCAGAGAATATGTGATCTCTGTTACAACTGCATCTAATACAAATAACTAAGAAATATCAATGGCTTGTGGCAGCCTCACAATTTTATTTTTAAAATTGTATTTTAAAAAACAAATATAACCTACATACCAAAATTGTCCACCCTTTTAAAGAATTCAGTGGTTTTTAGTATTTTACATTTGTAAAAACCATCACCACTATCTAATTAGAGAACATTTTGATTCACTTCGGAAGCCTCTTTTCTTACAGGTACAAGAGAACTCCAAGAAAGATTGAGATCCCAAACACAACTGGAGTCAGCAAGTGTAGTGCTGCTACGGTAGTCATCAAAAGGAAACTGCATCGCAAGTAGTACAAATATGACATATACGGCCATGGCCAGAGTGCTAGGTTGATTAGAGTGTCATCCTAATATGCCAAGGTTGCAGGTTGGATTCCTGGTCAGGACACATAAAAAGTCAACCAATGAATGCACATATATATGTATACTTTATCAGAATCATTCAGAAATGTCATAGACATGATTCTCCCTTATTCCTGTCAACTTTATCAGAATCATTCAAAGGTGTTATAGACATGATTCTCCCTTATTCTTAAATGCTGGGTACTTCCTAAAACAAAGGACAGTCTCCAGACAAACCACAATATTACAAAATCAGGAAATTAACACTGATACAATACTGTTATTTAATCTACAGACCTTATTCAAATTTTTTTCTATTGTCCCAATTAAGATATAATATTGTTATTTAATATGCAGGCCTTATTAAAATAGTTTACTTTTGTCCCAATAATGTTCTTTAAAGCAAGAAAAGATTTCAAAAAAAAAAAAAAAAAAGGATTTTTGGTCCAGGATCCATATTTAATAAATTCCTTTAATCTGGAATAGTTCTTCAGTCTTTCTCATTCATGACCTTTATAGTTTTAAGAATATAAGCTAGTTACTTTTCAGCCTGCCTAAGAAGGAAAAGGAGGAGGAGGAGGAGGAGAAGGGAAGATTCTAACTTATTCTGGAAGTTTTAGAGGTGGTTTCCAGTGAAGACTATAGGTAAAGTGAGCTCCTCTTCTCAAGGATCCTCTCAGCCAACTCATACTGATTATTCTAATATGTATTAGAATTATTTACAGACCAGAGGCCCGGTGCACAAAATTCGTGCACTTGGTGGGGGTGGGGGTGGGGGTGGGGTCCCTCAGCCTGGCCTATGCCTAATCCAGGAGCCCTCAGACATCCTTAGTGCTGCTGAAGAGGCGGGAGAGGCTCCCCCCACCACGGTGGGCTCAGGACTTCTGGCTGAGAGGCGCTCCCCCTGTGGGAGCGCACTGACCACCAGGGGGCAGCTCCTGCATTGAGCATCTGCCCCCTGGTGGTCAGTGCACATCATAGCGACCAGTCATTCCCCTGTTCGGTTGATTTGCATATTAGCCTTTTGTTACATAGGATGGGATAGACAATAAGACATTTTGTATTCAGAATGGATCTGCTTGTACTACATAGATTTTGTTCTTGGCATTCCTGCATCTTACAAGAGTTGAATTTCTTCAAAAGTAGGGTTGTGTCAAAGAATTACCACCTACTCTCTTTAAGTCCTTGAGAATTAAATTACCTGCAGACTCCCATTTTCGGAAGCTCACCTTCAGTAGCTGAACTATGGCCTAAATCAGGAGACAAGAGCTGCAAAATGGATGGGTGTTCTTCCTTAAAATCATTCAACAGATATTTGTTGAGACCTGACCAGGCAGTTCAGTTAGAGCGCTGTCCCAATAGCCAGGGTTTCGGGTCCCAGGTCAGGGCACATAGAAGAATCAACCAATGAATGCATAACGATGTCTCTCTCTCTCCCTCCCTTTCAAAAAATAAAAAATAAAAAAAAATACATTTGTTGAGTGCCCAGTATATGTCAGGCTCTATTCCAAGCCCTGGGAATACCTTCGAGAACAGAAGAAAACAAATCAAAACCCTTATCCTTGTAATCAAGTTGGGCAAATTAAAATTTAAATGAGAAGAATCCGAAACCCAGGCTCTGACTTCCTTAAACAGGAAGAAGGCAAACCTCGGTGAAAGGGGGCAGCCCTGAGATCGGATTCTAACATGGACAGCCCTGCGGAATCCCTGGCCGGTGTGCTGATAATAAAGCTCAGTTTCTCCCCACGCCCTTTCCAAAGGGTTCATCCGAACACCAAGGCCTGCGAGCAGGAGCGGGGCAGGGTTACTGAGCTTTCTAACCACTTTCTCAGCCACACGTGCGGCGCGGCGTGGGACCTCCGGGCTGCGTGGCACGCACTGGGGTGCGCCCCGCCGGGCCTGCCAACCGGAGGGCACCCCTCCCGGGCGGCACCTCCCCGCCCAGGTCGGGCCGAGCACCTGGGAACCGCGCGCCCAGAAAGCCCGGCGGGGAGGCGGCTCGGGGGAACCGGCTCCTCCGGGCGGCCTCACCCACTGCAATGCAATCTGGGTGGTTTTTCCAGGTCCCTCCCTGCCTTGCTCCGCGCCCAGTCCCAGCCCCCGCGGCGCCTGCGGGCCCCCGAGGGTGGCTCCGAGGTTCGGGGATGAGGCGGGGCCGGGCCGCCTCGGCGAGCCAGCCGAGGGCGGCGGGGACCCTCTCGGACCCCGCACCCCGCAGTCCGGGAGGTGGTAGCACACGCCGCAGCCTAAACGGCAGGCGCGCGTGGGACCGAGTCCCCTCCCCGGCCTCCGCCCGCACTCGGGGGGCGGGAGCAGCTCCCCGCAGCCTCGCAGCTAGGAAACGCGGCGGTTCGGTCCGGCTCCCGAACCCACCGCCCGCCCTCCTCCCGAGGCGACCTCCTCTGCCCTCCGGTCGCGCTCCCTCCCCGTCGGGACAGCCCGACCGCCAGCTCCCCTGGACTTGTGTTCTGCAAAGGGGTTTCCCGTGGCGATAGGTGTGCGGTTCCTGACTTTTCATCATGAATATAAAGAGCCCAGGCACCTGGACTCGGAATAGTAATACTTCCGACGGAATCGTGTTCCCCAAGATAGACCAGTCGGAAACCTAAAACTCGAGGAAACTTCACCTCCAGGGCTTTCCTCTCTAAAATGTCAACAGGACCCACCGCATCGCCCCCCGACGTGGAGGTGGGCGCGCAGCCCCCGGGCCAGACCTCGCCGAGCTAGAGCAGGGGCCGCGCTGGGGACCTGGCCCCAGCCCCGCAGGGACACAGGCCGAGGTGTAGGCGCGGGGTCCGAGGGGAACCGAGGGGAGGCTGGTGTCTCGGTCCTCCAGGTGGCGGCATCTTATTTAGGACGCGGGGCCAATCAAGGCAGCGGCCCCTGCCCTGCGGGAGGTTTCAGCCCGGAGCCGGCAGCCAGAACCTCACAGGACGTGGCAAGGACGGGAGTAGCCGGGAGAAAAGGTGGTGGGGTCCGCGGTGCCTGCACGTCCTCCCGGGGGACCCCCTGCCGCCCGGCGCGCAGCGACTGCTCCTCGGAGCGTCACCCAGAGGCCGGCCGTCCGGGCCGGGAGCGCGGCGCGCTCACTCCCGAAGGCGGGCAGCACCTGGGGGTTCGGGGGAGCCGGCGCCGGCCTCCAGCTGGAGGGGACGGGCCGCAGGTCCCGCTGTTTGCACGGCAAGGTGTGCTGGGCGTGGGAGCGGCGGTTCCGGGGCCTGGCACGGCCCCGCCACCTCCCGGCTGCCGTTGGCGGTCCCTCCCTCCCTCCCTCCCTCCCTCCCTCCGCGCTTCGCCCTCCCC